CTTTTCTTTGCCTATGTCATTTTTCCCCTCTGATTTTTGTATACTTAGATATTTTGGATTTTCTTCTTGATCTCTGGAATATTATTTTGAGTCTAAATCTTGTTTAAATTCTATAGAGATGTTGATGATTTTAGTAGGAGTTCAACCTGGTTGGGTTTAGGCCTAAAGTTACAAGTCTTGTTAAGGATTTGTTTCAATTTTATGCTTTCAAACTTTTGCATTTTTGTTCCTATCTAGCCCATATGTATGCCGCCCAGGGGGCCAATCTTGAACTTGAGTCATAGTCTATTTTGTAGCTTAGTTTTCAAAGTTTGAGACACAGGTTTATATTGAGGATCTCCCCTTTCTGATCCTCTGGCAAGAAAGTTGGCATTTTGTGTACTCTACTCTGCTGCATGTTTCCTGAGAAAGAATTCTCATGTCTGGGGCCAAGCAGTGTATAGAGTGAACAAAAGCATAACTATGTTTGTAATTAAGAAAATATTTTTAGTTATAGTTGTTACTTATTATCACATAACTTAAAAATATGTACAAACTGAATTATAAATGTTTCCACATTCTACTATACATATTTCAAGACCATCAACACTAGTTATCATTTATCTCAAAATAAGATTCATGGGGAAACCTGGAAATCTAAGCCAGATCCTTGGGGACAATCTGAAGCTTCACAATCCGTCAATCTCTTGCCACCCATTTAAAGAAAAGGAAGGAAAATGACTGTACAGAGCAAAGACTTGCCTATGAATCTTATGGGGAAGGGGGAAAGGGGGTTTCAAAGAATTACTTTCAAGCCATTGGTACCTAATGTTTCATTTTTAATAATTATTTAATAAGTAATTTCAAATTACCCTATTACATTTTAGGTTAGTCTTTAGCTGTTTTGAGAAATCATATAGAGATTAAGAACACATAAATTTGGTGCCAGATCTTCTAGACTATAAACCCAGGTTTTCCAATATGTTTGCAGCATGAACTTAAGCATGTTACTTAACCTATCTTGCCTCATTTTCAATATTAAGAGTTCAGCAAAGTTTTTGTGCAAAAGATCTGTACAGTAAACATTTTAGGCTTTATGGGCCATACACACTCTCTGATGCTCCTTCTCCTTTTTTTAATACATCCTTTACACATATGAAATCATGATTAGCTCAAAGACCATGCAAAAATAGGTTAACAGTTTGCTGACCCCTGATCCATATAAGAGAGATAATAAGAGCATTTACCTTAACAGGATTGATATGATGATTAAATAAATTAATTGAATTAATATATGTAAGGTGTTTACAAAGTACAAATAGTAAAAATTATAAAGATATTTATCATTATTATATTTCTAAAAAAATTTATTTTAAGATAACTACTATTCCTGGATACCTTCTCATATTGCTTGGTGACTTGAAATTTGAAGAAGGAATTTGTCTTTTCTGATTTATTCCAAATGCCAGAAAGCTTGACATTCTATATTGATGAAGCCCCTAAATGTGGCATTAAAACTAAGTGATCAAAACAAAGTAATGATTCTGAAGTAACCCTTACAAACCTGAGCAGAAACATCCATACTAAGAAAGATTCACTGTAAAAATGCAATAACTATATTACCTAAAACATCCAATTAAACACAGAATAATTTCTCAGTCATTACTGTATTGCTCTCCAGCCAAAGTTTACACACCTATTCATTTAGGTGAATTTCTAGAATCAGTCATTTATTTTTTAAAACTCAGAAATGAGAGAATAATCAGAAAACAGAAAATATGCACAATGTCAACTGATGAATTTGCCTTAAGTATTAAAACAGACTGAATGTTTGTATTCTTCCAAATTTCCTGTTTTGAAATCCCAACCTCAAATGTGATATTAGGAGGTAGGGCCTTTGGGAGGTAATTAGGTTATAGGGTGGAGTCACATAAGGATATAATAGAGTTAATGCCCTGATAAAAGGGACCCAAAGAGTTCTCTTGCCTTTTTCCACCACATGAGAAGAACTCTGTAATGGGAAGAGGGCTCTCACCAAGACTTTATAATGTTGGCACTCTGATCTCAGACTCCCAGCCTTCAGAATAGTGGGAAGTAAAAATTTCCCACTTTATCAGCCACCAAGTCCATGGTACTTTGTTATAGTAGCTGAAACTAAAGACAAGTATTCTCAAGGATAACTGCATATAACACAACACTTGTGTGCCAAAATCTTAAGGGAGAAAAAAACCTTAAAGTAATTAGAAGATAATCCATTATTTTTAGTAGACAGTTTCTAAATAGAAAACAAATATATAAAACTCAGCCCTTTTGTTATTCATAAAACACAGGCTTAGTAAGGCCACATACAAATATTTAAACATAAAACATTAAATATAAGGTTTGAACATTTTACAAGGTGTTATATTCAAATGCAGAGCTTAATGAACTAAACTTTATAATACAGTGGTGTCCAAACATGAAAAAAAACACTTGTTTCAGCTTTTATAAGGTATGTTTTAGTTATATGCTAAATAGAAATGCAATAATTTTGGCTTGTACACACATCTGTATTGTTACTCAACTTACTTCTACAGAATTTCTACACAAAAATGTAGATCAGGGATAGATATCTGTAAACTATAACCTAGATTTTGGAGATCATAGAAATAAGAGTCAGTACTTTTCCTCCTTCTGAAAAAACATACATAACAGTTTCAGTTAACATAGCTTGTAGAGAATTTACTTAGCATCAAAATAGCTTTGAGAATTATTTTTATCAAAGTCATTTACGCTCAGAGTTTAAAATATAAATAGTATTAATAGTCTTAAAACAAAAAGGAAAAAAGTGAGGGTTGGGGAAATAGCTCAGTTGGTACAGTGCTTGCCTAGCATGCACAAAGCCCTGGGTTCGATCCCCAGCACCACCAAACAAACAAAAGAAAAAAGTGAAAAACAGACAGTAGTCCCTGGCCTCTGACTTTCATAGTATGGCTCCATCCTGGTCTTCTCAGACATTTTAGTCATTTTGGGGGGCAGATAAATCTGTACTCCTAATACCTATACTAATTCTCTTGACTCATCCCTCTTAAACAGATTGTGGGGTACTGAATTTCAGTAACACCATTTACTAGCTGTGACCTGCAGCAAGTTACATAACCACTTTAAGTTCTAGTTTCCTAATCCATATAACAAATAACAGAACTTAACCACATAACGTTATTGTGAGGATTAAATAGTGCAAAATTCTGAATGTGTAATAATATCTGATTCATGATTTTGTATTCCTATAGTGATAATTATTACTGTTGTTACTATTTTCTTTTAAATTATATAAATATATTATATATATAATTATAAAATATATATTTTAATTGTCAATGGACACTTATTTTTATTTATTTGTATGTGGTGCTAAGAATCAAACCTAGCACCTTACAGCCTCACACACACTAGGCAAATGCTCTACCACTGAGCATAAATCCCAATCCATGTTACTATTTCTTATGGTAGGTGAGGATTTGAATGTCTTTTTCTATCCTATAAATTAGTTATATCAGTTTTTAAAAAATCACATTCAGTGTTTTCATCATAATGTCTTTTCTATATTTGAGGCAACTCTAGATCAATGATCATTTTTATCCTTATCAAAAAATTTATGAGATGTTGGCAAAATGTTGGACCATTGGAATATTCTGAATAACTTTCAGTTTGACAAATATAAGATTGCTGGTATTTCTGGATTTTGAGAAACTGTATTATAGAACTTTTACTGTAGTTTTAAAGTTAGTAAGAATTCTGTTAAAAAAAAACACTATTGTGGTTACTAAAACACATTTGTATTATTAACCCTCTGTATTTCTTTCTGTTTTTATCATTCTCATAGCTAAGGATGTTTAAGATATTATACATTCCATTGCTTTTCTTTATATTTAATGTTTTCAGGATTGACACCACTGATCTATGAACTGTTTCTCAGTGATTAATTTAAAACAAAATCTTGTATTTATAGTTCACAATTTAAGTGGTCTTTAAGTTGTGAAAAGTAACACAACTAGTGTGCTTGAGATGTCTAAAATTCCAAAGAGCATTTATATAGCAGCTTACTTTCAAGTCTGTGTAGGCATATTTTAACAAGGTACTACTATAGTCATTTGGAGGCTGCTATTGTTTGTATCTCAAATGTCTCCCATTGGCCCCTGTATTGAAGGCTTAGATCTCAGACCATGGTGCTGCTGGGAGGTAGTAGAACCTTTGAAGGTGAGGCATAGGGGAAGGAAGTGAGGTCCTTCTGAGTGTGCACTTGATACTGGGACCAAAGACTCTCCTCTTACTCTCTTGCTTCGGAGTTTCCATGAGGTGAGTAGCTTCTGTGGCATACTCCCCTTATGATGCTCTGACACAGGCCCAAAAGCAATGGAGCTAGTCACTGACTGAAATTTCCAAAACTGTGAGTCAAAATAAACTATTCCTTTTTAAAAAATTGATTATCTCAGAAATTTTGTTACAGTAACAGAAAAGTGACCAACACAGAGGCATTTTAAAGGAAAAAACAATTTATGATAATTGTTAAAGTCCAACATTAATTTCCTGTTTTACTTTAAATCTAAAGATGTAATATTTTCATTCAGCTAATAAAATGAAATTATTTGCCATGTTTGAAAAGGTGCTCAGATTCTCCCTCATTATATTTTAAGTTCTGTGAAAATAAGGAATGACAACGTATTTTGTATCACCATTGCCTTGGGACTATGCCTGACTGTTCAGGGTAGAGATGTCTAAAACACATTGAAAAAAAAAAATTTGTTTATCTTGGCCTCATATTATGTACAAATGTTGGCAGTAAAACACCAAATACCACATTACACAATATTATTTTTTTTCAGCAAAAACAAACTATGCAAGTTGGTAAGCTGCCTTTTTTGTTTTATTGATAGTGACACATACTAAAAAATTAATATATATTAATTATCCATGGTCCTTTATAAATATTTAAAGCTATTTTCAAAAGCACAATTCATACTAAAAAATCATACCATAAACTACATATTTAAAAAGACAAAAATAAAATACATTAAAGATCATAAATCATGATGGGATATTGAGATGGCTCATAACTCTTTCAAATATTCTGATTACAATCAAATGTAGACCTTTACCAAAAAGTTGATAATTCTAGGGATTCCTTTTGAGGAAAGATTTAGTTTTTATGTAACAAATAGCCAGATTAGCATACCTGAAATTCCTATGGTCTTAAAAAGCTCTTCAAAGTCCATTAATGCAAACAGAATATCATAAAGTATTCCTGGATGCACACACACCTTTAAAAGATTTTAACGTACTCAGTTTATATTAAATATATTCCTTGGATTCAAAATTGTTGAGGTTTCTAGATCCTATCTTTTCATGTCTTCACAGACTGGATCTGATCTGATAACAAAAAAAAAACAACAAGAATTATTAGTTTCTGAAGGACAAAAATCTATTTTCTAAAGTAAATATGAAAAATGTATGTAACATGGTAAAACCCTATGTGTACATGTTTTTCTTACACAATTCATACTATAGTTATATTTTTAAAATCAAAGTTGTACATACAAATGGTTAATGAATCAACTAGTTCTATAAGGCTTGTTTGAAAATAGCAGCTTCTTGCTTCATCTTTCTTTCCCCTTTATAGAATCGAGTACTTGCAGCTCTTTTTAGGTGATCGTTTATGTATTTCTAAGTACACTTTAATATTAATTCTTGAAAGTAATGTAATAATGAGGTTTCAGTTCTTACACTTTCATGCTCTTCTGTACCCTCACTGTGTTTCTACTACTCCCATCAATTTAACATAGTGATGCAGTCATTATCAATATGATAACTATGTAAATTTTATGCACAGCTGATTTAGGTGGTACACTCTGGTTAGTAGTCTTTTCCTCTACTATATTGTTTTCTTTCAAGGTAGTAATTTGACTTCCCACCTCCACATTAACCCGTCTAGGTTTTTAAAAATGTATGTTTTAACAATAATCCAATCCCAATACTTCCAGTTTAAATCTTTATTATTATGAAGCACTTTGCATCATATTCATCTCGAAGAATTCTTCCATAGAGTCCTACAAAATTCTCCAAAGTAGACCAGCTGTTCTCTCTTCCTGCCAGTTAGTTATTCTTATGAGATTTCCTTTCATTATTATTCTAGAATATCTATTAACAAATGAGATTCCTTCCCCTATTCTGTTTCAATGTTCCTTATTTTTCTCTTCTTGATTTATTCTCTTGTTTTTAAAGACTACTCCTTTCAATACTAGACTTTATACAATCAAAGATGTCTTTATTCTGTTGTCACAATATGTTGATATTGTTCTGAGAATATTTTCTCCATGAACTTTTTGTTATAGCTTCTAAATTGTTGCTTTTGAGAAGTCTGATGATATTCTATTTATCCTTATAGGAAAATGTTTTTATTTATTTTTCCTTAGGAAGCTTGCAAATTCTTCTATTATTATCAGGGCTGAATTTCATAAACAATGCACCTTGAAGGGGATTATTTCATCCATTACACTGGGCTTTCAAAAGGACTTTCAACTGCAAACTCATCACTCAGTTCAGGTAAAGCTCTATCTGATGATTTGCTACTCTTTATTTTCTCTGTTCTCTTTTTCTGACTTTCTTCTTAATTGAATATTGGGCCTTATAAACATGACCCCTTTTTCTTTTCTTTTCAATTTCCAAATCTTCATCCTTTTGCTGTTTTCTGGGAAATTGCCTCTATTTTATTTATTTTTTGCTGACTTTTCCATTTTTTTCTATTCTATTCTTATTTTCAAAGGATTATTTTTTTGTTTGTTTGTTTTTTGTTTCTTATCAAGAAGTAGTATCCTGGTCCTATTCATGAAGACAGCATCTTATCTATTTGAGGAGACTTAACGGTTTTTCAAAATGTTCTAAGTTCTACTTCCTCTAACCTGCTTTTCTTGTTTTTTTACATTCCCATATTTCACAATGCTTTCATCCTCATGTCTGGTGATCATTTGCCACTTGTTCATACGTACATGTGAACACTAAGAAGGCACACTGGAATCTGGAAATATGTGAGGAGCTTGTCAAATATGGTCTTCACTATAGTGTCTGGCTAAGTCATTTCTGTGGGAATCTCCAACATTAATACCTTTAGGTTTTTTCACTACATTGGTCTAATTCCTTAAAGATGACTTTTCCTAATTTTTGCCTACCTTCAGTGTTTCCTGGGAAAAGTAGAAGACAGAATTACAATATTTGATATGAAAACTTTTAGTCACTTCTGACTTTCACTTCAGCATTACCATACACAGTTATGTCTGGTGTTTTCTAGTCCAAAGATATTCTGCTTGACTTCCATACAGATATTCCTTCAAACTTCTTTGTGGGAAGGATATATAGCCATATCTTCTCTCTTCAATTCCATTTTCATCCTTATTTTAAATTTCCACCAATTTCTGAGCTTTCAAGAGGATCTGCAAAGCAAATTAGGCTGCCTTCCAGGATTCCCCAGTACTAACTTGGGATTCAGCTTTCTGAGATCTGTTAATCAATCAACATCCATCAGATTCACCTTCCAAAATTCGGTTGTTCTTTTCACCACTTGCATTCATTTTGCCCACATAGGTTAATGTCTTTTTAAAAGGTCCCTTTATTGTTAGTGAGATTTGGGAATAAAACTGTTTATGTGTTCTATCTTCTGTTTTTCACTGGAGTTTCCAGATGCATAGTTTATAACAGCTTAATGTTAAAATCTAGAAGTAGAATGGGGATATGGCTCAAGGGTAGTATGCTTGTCTACCATGTATGAAGCTCTGGGGTTTAAATGCCAACACCACAAAAACAAAACAAAAAGGTTTATAATCTTTAAGCATTATTCAAAGTTTCAAAGCTAGAAAACTTATTGCTCAGTTATATTTTCTGGAGGATTAAAAAAAAACTTCATATTCTACTCAAGGGTTGTCTTTGGGTGGTTATAGGTGCTTAAGTAATGAGATTCTTTCCAAAAGAGAATAGAGTCATAGACTATGCATCATTTAGTATTTCACAAAAATGTTTCTAAATTTTAGCTTAAAATAATGAGATGAAATTGGTCCAAAATGAACCAGAGGTCTTTTTGTTTATCATGATAGGAAATTTCAGATTCTAAAAGCAAAATGAAGAGACCAAAGTTCAAAACATCTTTCATAGTTAGATTTATATAAATGTTTTTAACTAATGATTTAACAATTACAGACTAGTCTCTTGCATTTACTATTATTTATTTTGCAAGATAGGATTTCATCTCTTCAAATAGAGGGATATAAGTGGGAACATCAAAATGCAAACTATTTATTATTATATAAGAAATATGAACAAAGAATCTTTTTAAACCAAACTGATATATTTATTTTTATTTTTTATCTACATATTTATTAATTTATACCTCTGTTAAATAGTGTAGTTAGGTAAAAGAGCAAATTTAACATTCACTGACTTCTTTAGTACTTTAACAGAGACAATATATAATTAATTTGTATAATTTATGACATTTTAAAACTTTGCAGATGAAGAAAATTATCTTCACAAGACACTAAGAGATGTTAGCTAATAGGTTAAGAGGTTAATTAATAAATAGGGGAATAAATCTACTAGACTCAAGAGCCCCACTGTGTTTTACTAGTGTTTCATGCTGCTTAGAGACAATAGGGATACTACCACTTACCTTGTGAAGACTGTTGTAAAGAGAACATAAAGTAAGATGATAACAAAAGGACACAAAAGCATTTCCAACAATGTGTCCTTCATAAGACTTGGAAGTTAAGACAGTTAATGGGTGAGAAAAGTCAAAGAAACAAAAATTTGGTGTCAAGAGGAGTTGGCAGTTGGTACTATGATGTTGGATCTTTACTGACACCTAGTGGCCTGATTGCTACAGACAAAATAAAGCCAAGGTGGGTGGGAAGGGCCTAAGAGCTTAACTTAAAATCTAGATGAATACAAACTTATTTTCAGTTAAGTACTATGTTCTGAATAACTTTATTATGATTGATCATAGGGTTTCTATTCTATAACATCTTCACTATAACAGTAAGAACTTGTGAAGAAAAGAGGGATGAAAACATGTTTTTGATACATTCTCTGGAATTTTCATCTGACTCCATCAGTTTGTGGTGGGAATTCATCCCATTACCTTGATCATTTCCTTTACCATAATCTAAGAATCTAACTTGGTGTATGTGTGCTAGATCCTTGCTATTTTTTCCCAATATGTAGAAGATCACTGTAGAAGAAATCAGAATTTATAACCAAAAAACAATAATTAGAATTTATATCTTGTTATTTACCCTTATTCAGAGTAAGAGTCTCCTTAAGAATGATCTTTAGTTGTTCTATTTAAAAAAAAACTTTTGACCTAGTTGTCCAGATTATGCAATAAATACCTATAGAACTTGGCTTCATGGACTTCTCTTCTTGTTTTACATGCATCAAGGTATTTATGTGGCTAGCAGATAATGTAACATTAGGGAAATTATGCATCTTAATTTATTCCATGATATATTGGCTGGCATCAACCTATGATAACTGTTTTGGTGAATAACAAACAGAACTACAAATACATAAAGCATCATAGAATAGCAGTATTTATAATACTCAACATGTGTTAAAAGTTCTATATACATTTTATATATAAATGAAGCTACACATGGAGTATTTATAGCCTGATTCTTAGAAGATACATGTCATTCACACTTATTTTTAGTTATTGACAATGAAGCCCAATAATCATACCAAACTTCAAATGTGCTTCAATTATTAGCTCTAATGGAAATTTGGTGCCATAAATTAAAATTATTTTCTAGATTTGTCATATATATTGATTGTAAAGAGGCAAACACTTTAAATAACATATGAAACTTAAAGCGTAAAAGTAAATGGAACAAACTATTGGATACTTACTGTACTGTTTTTTCTGATAGCAGAAACAGATGGAGACAAGAGGAAAAAGGCAATGATATAATAAAAATAAAATGTAGACAAGAAAATAATATGAGTGGAAAAGAAGTAAAGGCTAAAGATACACAGTACTTTGTGATGTACCTTGAAGCCAGTCTACACCTTCTTGCAATCCTTCTCCTTTTATGGCATCACTAGCACTGAAATAAAATCCATAAGAAACAAATCAATTTCATTACATAATGAACTGTAAGAATAAAAAATTACAATTTTTCCACATGACAAATTAATACATTCTAGTAATATACACTTAAGGAAAACCAGTTAAGAAATGACATTGAATATAAATAGGAAATTAAAGACTGAGGGCTCAGGACCAAGACATGAAAAACATTTTCATAATTTATATAGATATCACTAAAGTTATTCTAAGAATAGTACTTAGACTTACATTAACAACATGTAAACTTTGAGTTATTATTCCAGTGGTGGTAAAGTTTGTAGAGTTACCATCCTACTTCAACTAGCCTTGAAGGTTCAATAACAGCTACTTACAAAAAAAAAAATGCTTGAATTGGGCTGGGGATATAGCTCAGTTGGTAGAGTGCTTGCCTTGCATGCACAAAGCCCTGGGTTCAATCCTCAGCACCACACACACACACACACAAAATGCTTGACTTAGGCTGTAAAACAGCTACATGACAAGAGTCACTTTATTTGAAATGTAACCTGATATCTATAACCCATAATTATAACTTTGATAAGCTGGTAGAATAGAATAGAAGCCCAGTAGATTTCAATCACAATTTTATATTTATGAGCTGCATGTACCTGGCTAGGTTACTTAACACTTTGTCTTTAATTTTAACATCTGCAATATGGGGAAATATAATTACTCATTCAGCACCAAGGCTAGCTCTTAATGTAAGCTCTACTACATTCTTGCTTCTTATTTTACTCCCTCTTCTCTACTTTGGTGTTCAACCTTTCCCTTTAGTCTCTGTAACTCTTATAAAAAGGAGAAAACTCTGGTAAGAGAAGGTCATCTTGCAACAGGGAGAGGTAAGTGGGTGGTAGGTAGAAGGGAGTGGATGGTACTAACAGTATCTAATAATATATAACCTCTAGTTATTATTTTTGATACATTTTAACAGAAAGGTATATAATATATTAGTAAGAAATTGTTTTCCAAATAATGCATAATAATTTCAGATATTAATCATTTGAGATTTCAACTTTATTAGTTTGTCCAAATAAAATTGTTATTTCTATTTATTTATTTTAGCAAATATTTATTGTGTATCTATTATTTACCAGGTACTATCACTATTGCAGAGGTTACAGAAGTGAGAAGAAAAAAGAAAATGACAAAATCTCAACTCTTACAGAACTAACTTATTAGTATAAGAAGACAAGTTAAAAATAAATAAACAAACAATAGAGGTCATATGGTGTCCTAAAGGAAGTACCACAGCAAGCCAGAAAAAAATATTTTGTAGAATGATTCAGATGGGGGAGAGGTGAGAATATACAAGTACAAATGCCCTGAGATGGGGTTATGGTTAAATGTTTCCACATACAGAAGGAAATCTCTGTGGTTGAAGTCAGGTGAATAAGTGGGCTACTTAAATTATTCCATTATAATAGTGTTTACATTTTTCTATCTCCAAAAGGATTTAAAAGGGTTTTAACAGTAATATATTTCTGAATATCTGCATTGCCACAATTCTGTAAAACAAATCCTTACTTTACCTAGTACTCTGCTTGGTCATTTATAAAATGAGATCAGAAACAAAACAATGAAGCTTGGATATCTTTCAGAATGATAAATAAAGTAAATATAAAACTTTACCAAATATGCCATGGTTTATCTTTGATGTTCTCTAAACACAGCAACTGAGACACTTTTACAGATGTCACTGCATCTCTAAGATCCATTTTGTTTGCAAAGAATAAGATTGGAATTCGACGGTGTTTAATATCTAAAAGAGAAAAGAAGACTATCTTACAAGTTCAGCTTATGGGGTCACTTTGCCCCAAATTCTTAAAATTAAAATAAAATGCTTTCCAGTTAATTCTTTCTATATGACACATGATAAACATTTAAAGACACATACTTTCAAGCATGTATTTGAGCAAAAAGAAAATTTTATTGATATTTCTTCCTAAGACCATCTGCCTTCTGGTTAGAAGCTTTAAACAAAAGATAGATGAGGTTGGAGAAGGGGACTCAATGAGCGGTTACGAAGAAGAATCTATACAAAAGGTTCAAATATATTGCTTGTTACATTTTGTCTTCTAGTACTATGCAACATAATTTATTTAATTAAATGTAAAAGTGTAATGTATTTGTTACTAATCTTTTTAATTTTTTTTTAGTTGTAGATGGACACAATACTTTTATTTTCTTTACATACTGAGTATGGAACCCAGTGCCTCACACATGCCAAGCGAGCACTTTACCACTGAGCCACAGCTCCAGCCCAAACAATGCTGCAATGAATACATTTGGATATAAGGTGGGTATGCCCACAGAATAAATAGGATAGTGGAATTGCTAGGTCAAAGGACATGGAAATTGCTGTTTTTTTGATAGATAGTATTTTTAAACAAAGGCTATCTTTCCTTAAATCTCTATCAATTTGCGCTTCAGCAACAATTTATAAAATTAAAGGTTTCCATTCCCTAGCCAAAAAAGAGTTACCAAAATTTTAAAATCTTTTCCATATGCTAGATGATTAGTAAAAAGTATGAACCCAATGTGTTCATTTGTATTTTTTTGAGAAAAGCCACGAATCTTATAATATTTACAAAATATGTTAAATGTACCTTTTCTGTTGAACTAGCTACACTTATATCTGGATAATTCATTGCCTTTCTCTGTTTTCAATTAACTTTTTATTTCCTTACTGATTTGTAGGAACACAAGTAGTATGCCCTATAGCTATTATATTAGTTGCAAATATTTTCCCTTGTCCATCATGACTTTTGAGCGTTCATGGTACATTATTTTGCTCTTCAAAGATTTTTTTATGTCTTTCATTAAAAAAAATGATTCATATGCATTTCAGCTGAGAAATCCCACCCCTGAAAATCTATACCATAAATTAAATTAATCAGTACAAAAGGTATACAGACAAAGCTTTGGTTGAAGAATCTAAGGTTCCCATTGTGTTTGAGGCAGATTTTGTTAAGAACTATTTCATTTCATTAGTCAACAACTTTGCAGGGATAGGTAGAAAGATCAATAAAAAGGAAACATCTGATCAAAAATGCCTCCTCAACCCAGATCAAAACTAATAAGCTTTAAAAGTGGAAATGATACATAAATGATATAGGCTAGGTAATTTTTTTTTGGGGGGGGGGGAAATGTAGTTTATTTTTATTTATTTATTTATTTTTAAAAAATTTTTTTTATTGGTTGTTCAAAACATTATAAAGCTCTTGACATATCATATTTCATACATTAGATTCAAGTTGGTTATGAACTCCCAATTTTACCCCAAATACAGATTGCAGAATCACATCGGTTACACATCCACATTTTTACATAATGCCCTATTAGTAACTGTTGTATTCTGCTACCTTTCCTATCCTCTACCATCCCCCCTCCCTCCCCTCCAATCTTCTCTCTCTACCCCATCCACTGTAATTCATATCTCTCCTTGTTTATTTTCCCATTCCCCTCACAACCTCTTATATGTAATTTTGTATAACAATGAGGGTCTCCCTCCATTACCATGCAATTTCCCTTTTCTCTCCCTTTCCATCCCACCTCATGTATCTGTTTAATGTTAATCTTTTCTTCCTGCTCTTCCTCCCTGCTCTGTTCTTAGTTAGGCTAGGTAATTTAAATTTTTTTTTGAATAATTTTGAGATCATCATATAAAAACACCAAAGATATTCTGGTTAAGCAGCAAGATTTGTTAAGAGTTATTTATGTATTTAAGTTTTGCAATGCTGGGGATCAAACACAGGACCTTCTGCATGCTAGGCAAGTGCTCTACCACTGAACTATGTCCCTAGCTTAGCAAGAAGGTTGGAAAGCTCTACAGTATTCCTATTCTATTTCTAACAAATCTACAGTTTTTTAAAACCACCCTTCTCTTCTAAAACTCCTAGCACAAGGATTATTTAAAAACTTTTTGACATGAATAAGGCTAGAAATTTAGAATTTCATAATATACTGGAGAATTATTTGTAATAGGGGAAAGGGAAGGGAAAAATATCCATCAATAGGTAAGTCACTGAATAAATTATGGTATACTCATAGTACATAATGTTAAGGATCTTTAAAAAGATCACATAATCATACAATTTGACTTGGAAGTATTTCCATCATGTAGTGTTGAAAATGGGAAGATGCAAAAGAGTCTAATAAATATGATCCCATTTTGGTAAACAACAATAGCCCCAATAGCCCTCAATCTTACAGATATCTTTGGAATTCACATAGGTATATTTTTATGTGTGTGTGTGTGTTCATACATTCATACACATGACACATTTAAAAAATGTGAATGAAAAAATATCAAGTTGTTAATACTAGTCTGTTAAAAAGGGGTGGAGAGCTGGCAGTTGGAGATTAAAAACAAAAAAGATTTGTTTTAAAATATCCACAATAAATACGTAAGAAATTCTGTGATCATACACACACACACACACAGACACACACACCAGTTTTATATGCTGCTAAATGATATGAGCAGCACAATTGTAAAGGAGGAAAGGTTTATTTAAGGCTCATGGTTTCAGAGGTCTCAGTCTATAGAAGGTTGGCTTCATTCCTTGAGGCTCTAGATGAGGCAGAGCACCATAGCAGAAGGGTGTACAGAGGGAAGCAGCTCACATCATGATCAGGAAGCAGAGAGAATTCCACTTGCCAGATACCTAAAAGCCATGGCCTAATTCCCACCTCCTCCAGTCACACCCTACCACTTCAGTTACCACTCAGTTAATCCCTACTGGGATTAATTCATTGATTGTCTCACATGTGAGCTTCTAGGAGACTCATTACATCCAAACCATAATACACACACTCTCACAAACTCAGATATACAAGGAGTGATATATCTAAAAAAAGTAACCAAATTAATTTTAATGGCTGTTGAAATATATAGATTTTTTACTTTATTCTTTTTCTGTTTCTTTTTTTTTTCTGTTGGCACATATTATTTATGTAATTGGGAAAGAAGGGCATTTTTATTTTTATTTTTTAAAATTTACTTTATTTCAGACAGGGCTTCACTATGTTGCCAAGGCTAGACTTGAATATGAGATTTTCCTGCCTAAGTTTCTTAAGTAGCTGGGTCTACAGGCATGGGCCACTGTGTTTGACATGACATTTTTGTTCTTGTGGAAATAAATGTTAGAGACTCAGAAAACACTGCAAAGAGCTTTGAAATTTAAACAATATGGTGATATAAAGCTATTCTAAATTTTGCATAACTAGCACATTTTAAAATTCAAGAATTTTAAATAAAATATAATTAGACAGTATAAGCAACATTTTTGGTTTTTATCTAATAACAAAACAACACACATAAATAGATCCTAAAACAGAGATCACAGACTGAAAGACAGACATACCTGGATGATTCAGAAGAGTATCGAGCTCTTCTTTGGCCACAACCATTCTGAGTCTATCACTACTATCAATGACAAAAATAATGGCTTGTCCTTCTCTGCATAATAAAATAGAAAATAAAATATACTATTTTGGTATAACTCAATGGACATTTTGTGTATTTTCACATATGAACATCTATGTCTGTATTTAAAATGGAATTCTGATGTTTTATACCTTGCCTTTTTTTTGTAGTATGGTTTGTACTTTTATATGAAAAAATAAAGCTTCCCAATAGCATTTCTCAAAATTTCTTTTTACCATAAACCATAGTGAAAAACTAATTTTACACTGAGATGCAGGAATTGTATATACAAGTATACATAAATATAATTAAAAGTCTCCTGAAACATTACTTAAAAATAGCTTTTATTTTACCCTAGTTTACATTTAAAAAAGGTGATAGCCACTGAACTCATTTAATGATCCTATCAGCATTTCAAAAATCATGGATTCCTCTGTACCCTTCTTTCAAAGGTTATAATATATTGTATGCACCATCAAATAAACCTGTTGTTGGACTTCATTCTGTTATTGGACTGTCATTAATAATCAAATGAATAAAAATAAATGAAACTTCTAAAATACCATTTATCCTATCATCTAAAAAAATGAAAATGTAGATTAACACAGCCACACCCTGCTAGTGGATATAGAAGCCAGTACAATTGGAAATATCAAGGGCTTTAAAAATGTTCAATTACTTTGAGCAAGTCATTTTATTTCTGAATTCATTCTAAAGTAATGTGAACTATAGCTAAGGTTTATGAAAAAAGTTAACTGGAGGATCATATGTATCTTACTCTGAAGAAACAAATGACATTCTTTCTCATAGGAGTGCTTTGTTTTGATAGTAAAAATAATTATTACTGTATGTATTATTAATCTTTTAACCTTTTCAGTCTAATAGGTTAAAATACACTTATTTTTTATAATTAGAAAAATACAGAGAAACTAATTATTGTAGGCTTCTCAACAACAAACGTATTTACCATTCAGTCTACAATTTAACCACAATGTTCCTGAATTCATTAATTTCTTTCAAAAGCAGTAAAAGGAGTTGAAATCAGAAAATTTTTTTCTTGTTTTAAGTATTATTTTTCCCTGTATTTTTGTTCTCTGTAATTAAGATAAGTATTTTTTTTCAATTTGGAGCAAATAATTTATAATTATACAAAACTCCTTAACCCCTAAACTGAAAACATTTTTCAAATATGAAGTTCAGTACTTAAAAATCCTTGATTTACTTTTTTCTTTTTTTTTATTGGTTCATTTTAGTTATACATGACAATAGAATATCCATTTTAACATAATTATAAAAGCATGGAATATATCTTGTTCTAATTCAATTTTAAAAGGAATTTCTATCAACTAACTAAAGGAAGAATAAAAATCATGTACTGAAAATTTAGATTTTCAAATAATAAAAATAAAAAATCATCATCATCATCATCATCATCATCATCATCATCATTATCTCCACAATTCCCCAGGGAATTTAATGCAGGATACCATAAACATGTTACTTTTCCTTTTCCAAAATGATCCTCAAATTGGAAGCGCTCTCCTTTTTTTCTACCTCAGAGGTACTCTGGATCTACATATTTAAATAATTTCAATGTACTCTAAGTACTTACTGAAAAGAATATCTCCTTTTGTTCATATCCCAGGAATATAATATTTGTTATATTTGCAAGAAAGAGTTAATCAACTTATTAAAATCTAAATCTGATGTGGTAGTCTTCTTATACCATTTCAAAGCAGGAGTTCATAATATCAAAAGGGAATTTAGTTGGGGAATACTATTTTTACGTTTCAGACTCCAAAAATGAGTTACACTGCTTTTTTTTGGGGGGGGGGGGGTGTTAAACATCAGAACTTTATTAGTTGCTCAAAACATTACATTGATCTTGATATATCATATATCATACATTTGTTTCAAATGGGGTATGAATTCTTATTATTCCCATGTGTACAGATTGCAGGATAACATTGGTTATACTGCCACGTTTATACATACTGCAAAAGTTCTATCAATATTAGAAGTTAATGAATTTAACACCAAATGCAAATCTTGAGAAAGTATAACATATATGGATTCTAATAACTTGACAGCTGTTAATCTGAAGTAACTAGTGAACACTTATTTGCATATGCTGAAAAATATCCTGTTTAAAATTGCTCATGGAAAAAACAGATCAACTGTTAGTACTATTATTTTAAGTAAATTTGGTAATAATATTTTATCTACATGCTAAGCATCATACTAAGCCTTAAAGAAAGGAAATCATCTCATCCTTAGATAAGTTCACAATCCCATTAGGGAGGCAGCTACAGTACTTGACTTTGAGATAATAGTAAGTAAGATTACAGAGATATAAACGGATAAGGTAGTGGGCAAACACAGGGGAAAGAATAAATAGGGAAACAGTGACAGAGGAGGTGACTTTTGAGCAAATTCTTAAAGCATGAATAAATTAACCATAAACTAAAAATATGTAAGGTAAAATGGGACATTAAAAACAGAATGGCACATGCAAAAGCTCAATGTTATGAAGGACCTGAAGCATTTGAATTAAAAAACGTGCTTACTTATATTACATTTGAATTAGAATATGTGCTTAAATTATAGTATATTATATTAAACTTTAATATAATCATTAAACAATATTCATAAACATACTTACTTATAATAGTGCTCCCAGAGATTTCTATATCTTCCCTGACCTGACATGTCAAACACTGTAAAAGACAAACTTAAAAAAAAGTATGAAGTATGACTATATTATAAGCTACTAACTTACAGTATAACTTTTATTTAGTATTTTAAATTGTTTTCAAAGAAATCACCCTTGCTATATAATAATCAATGTGGGCCAATTTTTAAGAGTTCCAAAAAATGAATTCGTACATATGATTTTTGTAATGAATAACACAAAAAGATACTTTATTTGCTAATGAGGTTACTTAGAATCTAAATTCTATGTTTTGAACAATAAACCAGAGGTAGTGGTACAAAGTATTAGAATCTACAGGTTTCTAAAATAACAAATTACTTTCTCTAAGACTAGGAGGGATGATCAGGCTCAGGCAGATTTAATATGGTTACTTTTTATTCACAACTTCTTTTTATAACTTTATTTATTTTTTATTAGTGCATTATAGCTATATATAATATTGGTATTCGTATTAACATAATCATATCTATGACTTTTAGTCAAAGGGATAAAGGGGATTACCTGGATGATTTGAATTTCTCTATGTTGAATCCTATTGTTGGAACTATATCTTGAGACTGAGCCTATAAGAGAAAAGACAAAGTTTAGAAAATTGCAATTAACAAAGAATTTTTTCTTGTGAAAAAAAGTGTTCATATTTTACATTTCTAAAATATGTCACAAAGGAGATGGCAGCATTAAACAAATTATAACTTTTGCAATAGGATCAATGTGTATAAATTTTTTTATAGCTGTTCAAACTTTATACTGATTTTAACTGCATAACATCCATGTCTTAATTCACATTTTATTTTATTAAGAGTTACCAAGGACTTAAAGTTTTCTTTTTCTTTTTTCTAAATGTTTGTGGTTTTTGTTTTTGTTTGTTTCTTTTACTTGGTTTGGGATTTTTAATTGCCAGTTTGCAACAAATAGAGAGCAAAAAACTTTTTTAGTAAGGTAATAAATTCATCCATTGATTTAACTCAGGAATTTTCTATTGATGATACACTGTGCCTACTATAAGCATTTTTTTTAAAAAAATTTTTAAAAATTTTACAATCATCATTTGCTTCAGATGTCAAATACAGCTTCTAGGTTAGGTCATGTATCCATATAAGCAAAAATGATTTTACCTTATAATTCATCTCATCGAATTTGTTTTAAATTGCTTTAATTTCTTTGACTTTATGACAGAGACATAATCATATACATAGACTTCAATTCTACATATCAGTTTCATCTGTTGGGATCTCATCTCCACTTCTAAATACTACAATGTCCCAATATTTAATTCTTTTTAAATATATATATATATATAAATATACATATAGAGCACAATTTTTCATGTCTCTGGTTGTATATAGAGTATATTCACTCCAATTCATGTCTTCAGACATGTACTTTAGATAATAATGTCCATCACATTCCACCATCATTGCTAAACCTCAGCCCTCTCCCTTCCCCTCCCACCCCTCTGCCCTATCTGTTTTTTAACAGGTCTAATATATCACCCTGAGTTCATACGTGGAATTGTCTAATCTTTCAATGCATATTTACTAAGTTTATACAAATACCACCTTGACTTCACGTCTAGACTGTCCCTGTAAGGATTCTGGCTGTGGGTATGTACAAGGCAGCGTTCCTCTGGTGAGCAAACTCATGGAGGGTAACAGGCACCACCCTGTTATCCATATTTGGAATATTCTACAGTTTCTCCCTGGAACTAGTAAGATGACTAATACATGGTCAATGCCTAGCTCAATGTCCTTGAGAGGAGGCTCTGTGCTAGAGTCTTATCAGCCTCGACCTTAATCTCAAATACTCAGCTTCTGGGAATAAAGGAACTCTCTTAGACAACACCAATGTGTCACTGTGCCTAAACCTGCCCACATAACAGTAACTTTTTACAATGAGCAATATGTACTAAGGATGTCAATGACCTAATGTAGCCTATGGATATAAATAAAGCTGGCAGCTCAGATGAGAAGCTCTTTTACTTTGCCCCTGCACCTTGCTTGCTTCTGTCTTTCTTTGTTATTCTTTACATGTCCCTGCTCTCAATGAGTTTATAATCTAGAGAAAGTAAATGAATTAACAACTTAATAACAGATAAATACAATTTTGAACAGTGATAAGTACAAAGACAGGTAATTGGGGTGAAAGGGAACAGGGCAGAGGAAGGCTGGTATATGGCACAGTAGAGTCCTCAGGAAGGGCTGCTCTAAGAGAGTGACATCCAACACAAGAGTAAATGGCCATGAAAGAGAAAAGCTATGACAAGCTCTTGGCAAAGAACATTCCAGTCTTAGCCTGTGCAGCAATGATCTTAGAGCAGGAAGGAACCTGACACTCAGAAAAAGTATAAGGCCTGCTTGTCTGAAGTATATGGATAAGTAAAAGAGCTGTATATATTTAGGTAAGAAAGGTAGGTATTGAAGGCCTACGTAGAGAGTTCTGTGTGATGAAGACTGCAAGGGGGCAATAGTACAGTAGGACATCTGTTGACAAGTTGAACAGGCAATTAAAATGCATTTTACTGAAAACTCATCAAATGTCTCTTAGCATTTCTACCATCAAAATTATTCACCCATTTGAATAAAACATCTACCTACTTTCTGATCCAGAGCTTTAAAGTTATTCTTGAATCCTTCCTTTTTTACATTCCATATACAATCATTTTCTAAATCATTCTCTTTACAGGTTCTATCTCACTTCATTCTGGCCCTTATTATTTCTTGCTTTGAATTACTACAATAGTCCTTTTTTATTTGTTCTTTTTAGGTATACATGACAGTAGAGAATACAAACACAAAACACGTCTTATTCTAATTAGAATCCTAGTCTTGTGATTGTACCTGATGTGGAGACTCACGACTCACTGTGGTTTATTTATATATGTACATAGGAAAGTTAAGTAAGATTAATTCCACTTTCTTTCCTATTCCTGTCCCCCTCCCTTCCCTTCATTCCCCCTTGTCTAATCTATTGAACTTTTACCCCTACCCCCCATCTTGTTCTGTGTCAGCATCCACATATCAGAGAAAACATTTGACCTTTGGTTTAGTGGAATTGGCTTATCTCACTTAGCATAATAGTCTCCAGATCCATCCATTTACAGGTAAAAGCCATAATTTCATTATGTTTTATGGCTGAGTAAATATTTCATTGTGTATATCTACCACATTTTCTTTATCCATTCTTCTGTTAAAGGGCATCTAGGTTGGTTGTATAGCTTAGTTATTGTGAATTAAGGTGCTATAAACATTTATGTGGTTGCATCATTGTAGTATGCTGACTTTAAATCCTTTGGGTATATATACTGAGGTGTGGTCAAATGGTGGTTCCATTCCAAGTTTTCTGACAATTTGTATAAACTGCTTTCCATAATGGTTGCACCAATTTGCAGTCCCACCAGCAACATATGAATGTACCCTTTTCTCCACATCCTTCCCAACATTTGTTACTTGTATTCTTGATTGTTGCTATTCTGATTGAAATGAGAGGAATCTAGGTAGCATAGCCAATTAAGAGACTATTGAGACAATAGAATTACCTTGGACAAATTAGTTAAGACTAAGTTTTCTTAAATGTGAGGTATATTTTTTACTATCCTTAGCTCATAAAGTTATCATGAAAATTAAACTAATGGGTGCAAAACAAACAATACTGTGTCTAAAAATATGCAACAAATGTCTGCTGTTATTATAATCATACTCTCACTGATTTCTTTCAGTTTTGCCTCCATTTTTTTCCCCATACTACCACAAATATAGCTTAAAAAGAAATCCCTTTCCAGTTTGCCTCACATCATTATGCTCACTCTGGTAGTCTACTTCTGGGAAATTTAAATTCAAATGAAAACACTGAAGCTGTAAAGTCACTGGGGTCTGGGTACCCTAATAGTAACATTAGTGAAAAAGTCTGCCCCTGAAGTACCCTGGTCTTGCTTTTTTGAAGTTTATTCATCTTTCTCTTTCATCCATCTTAAGAGTTGCCATAGTATTTTTCAAAAATACCTTCCTACTTGTTTGTTCAAAAAAATTATTTTCTGCTACTAAGATATCTGCCTCATATATTAGGATTCCTCCCACAAGCTTTGAAATAGTTTCCTAATTTTGTTGTCCAAAAAAAATCTCCACCATCTTTAAGGGTTCTCAATGTGTCAGTCACATGATAAAATCATCAGCTATTATCTAATAAAAACATACAAGTAACAAAAAAGTGAGGAAGTTAAAGCTTAAAGAAATCTCAGAAAATACAATCAAAATAGTAACCTTGTTTTCATTGAATTATAATTAGAACATTCACCTAACCTCTCCACAAATATTCAGCTTCTCCACAAATTCCCCTTTAATATGGTATTTTATTTTTAGATGTAAAATTCATAAACTTTCTTTTCTTCTCCATCAAAGTTAAGATACTCCACAAATTAATCAGGATAGAACATACATGGGGGCTAGTGCTTCCAGATCACGTACAACTCATTTTCCTCTAAAGTATTCCCAAAAGATAAATCTCCAAAATTAATCTCTCTCTGCTCTCTTCATGAGCAAATGCATTGGGCCATTCTCTAAACTAGTCAGGGGATGATATAAAGCAAGTGAAAAGTATAGGAACAGATCATCCGAGACAGTCTAGGGATGTATCAACCCTAACAGGAATGAAACAGACTTCCAAGAACCTATTTAGTTAGTTTTATAACATCTGGTAAAATCCAATATCCTGGCCCAAACCAAAAACATCATCTATCAATTTATCACCCCAAAATATACTTAATTGCTGAGCATTATTCTAGATATTTGTAATTCAGTGCTTAACAAGTTAAGTGCTCTATTATGCTGAAGATAAATTTAACAAGGAAGTTAGCAAATGAATATACAAGGTAATTTCAGATTGCTAGGAACTGGAGGAAAAAATTGGAATTTAAAAAGAAATATAAACATATCTTTTAAGGAAATGATAGCTGCAACTAGATTCTTAAAAAGAGACACAAAAAAGGGCAAAGCAAATTATTTTTCTGAGACAGAATAGCTGCCTAAAGACTATGGTTCAGGAAGTGGTTAACAGAAATTAGTAAAGCACTATTATGTGAGTTTTCTTGTAGCAAAACTTACCAGGAATGTATATATCATGTGTGAAATGTGTTAGCTTTACCTACGTTTTAATTATTAAAATAAATTGTTCATATGCCTATTTCTGTCTTCCTGTCCACTACAACTGATATGTACATCATACTTTTGGGGAAAAGTGTCTAATTTTCATAGAACCTATAAAAATGTCCATTCATTCTTTCCCTTTGTTTTACATCTCCCATAAAGAGGGAAGTTTAAAAAAAAAAAAAAGGCAATGCAACCTGAAAGTAAGGTTGAGAAAGTTATGAAGATCTTTAGGGGAAAAAAAAAAAAACAAAACTAAAATAATATTCCAGTTTAATAACCAAGATTTATCTACATGCAACATAAAATACACTGCAAATTGTAGTTCACTGATACTTATTAAAGTATTTCAAGATTAACAAGATTCATAACATGATTACAGAAAATTATAATATCAAACAAAATAATTCTACATATTAACTTTTTCTAGTAGCAGAAAATACACACTGCATTGAACAAAGATACTTACATTTGAAGGTTTAAGTTTGTTAATGATTGTTGTTTTGCCACTGTTATCCAGCCCAAGGCACAAAACATGAACCTCTTTCTTCTTCAGGCCAAGCAAACCTGAAAGTCGGTCTAGCAATCCCATACTGTTATTCCAATATATACAAAGTGGCTGCAAGGAAAAAAAAATATACTATCTAAAGGCACTTTAAGTAAGGAAAATATTGATATCTGCATTAAAAATTTAAAGACACACATTGATATAAAAAACATGTCAATGTAGCTTTACACTTAGTAAACAGAGTATAAGCTGATTACCAGAAAGAAGCCTTAAATAAAATGCAGATTGGCAGCTTATAGCCTTTGGCAACATAGAACAATGCCCTTGAAAGAACCACATTTCTCATTGCAATTTACAATATTTAAGAAGAAGATGTGGTCAGCCTCACTATCATATGAAATCTGCCAATAGTAACACTTCAAATTGAGATTTTTGCCTATATCATTTGAATCGCTAACTAAATCTTTATGACAAATAAGAGCATTGTTATATTTTGCAATACTATGAAGATATAAAATGTTTACTATTTTTGTTTGGTTACTTTCAGTTTGGGTAGGGTTTTCTATCAATAGAAATAAACTATCCTGATATATTTATCTTTATTTCCCCTCATCCTTTACATATATCGTTGCAAGTCATCACAAATCCATTTTGAAATAATGGACACACACACACACACACAAACACTATCACACTTTTATTGAATCTTACTAAATTTATTATCTTAACTATAATTTACCTGAAACATCCTTCTGTTATTTTAAGAGAACTTTATAATACTAGCATAGAAATAAGAAAGTAAATACTAATATTAGATTTTTATTTTCTCAAATACTGTTAAAAGATTTTTTGTTAACTTTTCCTTAAAGTATGCATTTGTTCAATTGTATTCATTTTTAGAAAAAAAAACAAAACAACTCTTCTGTTAGTTTCTATTGCTATAACTAATACCTGAGATAAATTAATTTATATAAAGAAAGGTTTATTTTTAGAATTTTGGAGATTTCAGTAAATGATAGAGAGTGGCCCAATTACTTTTGGGCCTGTAGTGGAGCAGTACACCATGGTGGGGAGCATGTGGTGGAGCATAGCCGCTCACCTCACAGTTGGGATGTGAAAAAGAGAAAAAAGAAGGGGTTGGGTCCAACTATCTCCTTCAGGGCAGCCCTCAATGTCTGAGACTGCTCAGTAGGCTACAGAGGACTAGGCTTTTGGCACATGGACTTTTGGGGAACACTTAAGATGCAAACTATAGCACTTTCTATATCAAATGTTTAAAAAAGACTCTACCAGCAATCCAATTACAAAAATGATGTCCTAATTAGAATAAATTATACTCCATGTATGTATAATCTGTCAAGATACACTGTACTGTCATGTATATTTAAAAAGAATAAATAAAAAATAAAAAATAAAGTCAAGTAAAATTGCTATTGACAGGATCTTTGCTATGTGAAAACTTTATAGGTGTTCCTATCCAAGATGCTATTAAATTTATACTTCAGATCTCTAAATGAAACTTTTCAAAGGAGCTTGTTTTGGATTCCTCACCTCTCAGATCACCCAACTCTATAAAAGAGAGATATTCCTTTTGCCAACCCTCAAGTGCTATAGGCACTGCCCCAAAATACCTGTGAATATTTCCCATTACTCATTGAATATTCATTTTCCAAGTTCTCTAAACATTAGTCTCAATTTATTTTCATCTTCATCTATTATCTTCCAACTTCTTCAGTATTTTTTATTCCATACCATCCTAAGCAAGACCAAACCTTGAATGATGTAAGGCTGTACAAAACTAACCAATAAGAGGCTTCCAAGATAACTGCATGGGAAAGGATGCTGCAGAATTAACATTTTCCTTAAGTCCTTTGGGAGATCATTATGGTTTATAAATTTCAAAACTGAATTTCAATGATGTACAGAAGATAGAAGGCACCACCCATTTAAGAGTAGGTTCTATAACAGAGCTAATTTTGTCTTATCCAAGGGATGGGCTGACCTCAGGTACTTCCATTTGTGCCAAGTGAATCGATTTTTAATATTAGTGGTACAAATCCCACTCAAAATTTCCTGTGAATATCATCTAAAGGACTGGTATTTGTAGAATCTATTTTAAGTTAACCTTCTGATAGGAAGCAATTCACACAGATCATCTTAATTCAAAGTAAATTTGCTATTACTTTATTACACTGAACATATTGATATAAATGCTTATATTATTTTGTATTACATATGACTTAAAATATTTTTAAAATTATGACCACTTTTCATATCTTCTCCATTTACTATAAAGCACTGTTAAAGCCTAATGTTTGAATAATCATTTTTCATCATTATTCTGACTTCCATTCCTTTTCACAATTACTAACATTTGTTACTGAAATATTTTTCAATATACAATTGAAAAGGGAAGTCAGTTTTTCTAAAGGATGTAATCCTATTTATTGAAGTTGCTTCAAAAATAACTATGATAAAGCCTTATGTATACTTTTTATTTTTCAGTAATTTTCCATCCATAAGTTTACTGTCTATATGCATAAAGGGAGGAAGTAAAAAATAACCAAAGTCACTCAACATTTATTAAAAGCACAGTGTATTAAAAACACAGTGGAAGATACAACTGATATCTTTTATAGATTCCTATTCCTATAATAGGCTCTGATTTTCAACACTGGTTGCATTTTGGAATCAACTACTGAATCAGAGTTTCTGAGAATGGGATAAAGGCATTTATAGTTTTAAAAGCTACACAGTGTTTCTGATAAGTATTCACTATTAAGAAATAGTAGTTTTCAGACCCCCTAATCCCATGTTCTTATCATTAATATCGCCTTGCTACCTATCAAAATTAAGTCCATTTACAGCGTTTTTTCCCCTAACAAGAGAAAAGCATAACAAAGCTATTTTTTACTCAAAGTTTTACATGACATAGGAGCCTTCAGAAATAAAGACCCAAAGACTCAGTGAAATTTTCTATTTCTTTTTTGTTAGGTCCCATGAAATATGAACAGAGTGTAAACTGTGATTAGACAAAAGAATATGATCTAATGGTAACAGAGGGAAACACAACAAGCCCTATCCATTCAGATTCTTCTTGGTCACTCTGTGCAGGTATGGAGCAGGACACCTCACTGGAATGAGGATCTTCAAGGGAGGAGGAAAAGCGACCTTGATAGGATTTATGATTTGCTTTGAGGGACAGGAGTTCTAGTTTCTATGATATGTCTTGGGGAAGAATAATTCTCATTTCTCTTTGGGGAGACAGATAGGCAGGACACAGGAAGCGGAAAAAAAATCAGGAAAATCTTGCTTCCCAGGCCCTTCCAAAGTCTTTCACTTCAAGGTACTCAGAAATTCAAGATGCAATACTTTGCGGTATCATGATCTGAGTTCTAACACTACCTTGGTTATATCTGTACTCCTAGTGTACATGAAGTCTATTTTTAATAAATATTGGTAATGAACACACTCAAAAAGAAAAATTCCATGTCATCACACTCTTAAATCTAATTCCTTAATCAATATTCTATTATAAAAATCTTTTTCACAGATTTTCTTAACTTTCATTCAAACCTAGGACCTCACAAATGCTTGTCAAATGCTCTACCGCTAAGCTACATCCTCAGACCTACTATACATTCTTAGAAATATATTTCTAGTGGTAGGAATTGTTGCATCAAAAGGCAATAATATTTTAAATTCTGATAGATTCTGAGGATTTGTTTCTAAGAAACTTGCAACAACACTTACCAACAGTGGATGAAGCTTTCTATTCCTTTTATCAACACAGGTTATGGTTAATTTTTCAATATTTGCTAATCTAAAAGTAAAAAAATGGTATTTCAGTATTGTTTAAATTCGTATTTATTTCACTACTAATGAAACTGAACATCATTTCAGAATTTAATTGCCATTAACATTTCTTCTTTTATGAATTATCAGCTATATTCTGATGCTTATTTTTCTATTGATTACCTTTTACTATTGGCATATGAGAGCCCTTGCCATGCCATACTATTGCATAGTTTTAACCAATAAAATTTTACTATTATTTATGTTGTTTTGTGCTGTAAAGGAATTTTAATTTCTATCCGGTAATATTTATAATGTTTTCTCCAGCTTCTTTCTTCAGCATTAGGCCCAGAAACACTTTTCCTCCTCAATATTTTAAACATATTAACCCCAAAATATTTTTTGCCTTTTGAAGAAAATAATGATTTTGAAGTTTTTGAAGTTTAAGTTTTGCCTGAAACATCTGGGTATAAGAAGTGAGGCAGGGAAGGGGCTGTGGCTTCTTTTCTTTAATACAATGATAGTCGTTTTATTCTGGTATCATTTTCTTTTTTACCAACCCTTATAGATGGACTAATTTTTTCTCAACTTTTTTTCACATTCTATATTTTTTATATAGGTTTGGGTGTGTTAGTAGATTCTGTATTTCAGCATGTTCCAAATAGTACTCTTTGGAAGATGATTTTATGAATTATATTTAAAAGGTTTCCAAGATTATGTAAGTTTTAGAAATTTGGTATTCTCTCAATTTAAACAGGTTTCTGCAGGGCCATACTCCTGAAACTCTTTAATATGATTTAGCATATGGACTGCAAGTTTCCAAGAGGTATATAAAGCCAGTAGTATTTTTGATGAATATCTGTCCATGAAAACTTTGTTGGGAAGTATTTCAATTGCACATAATTTGGGAAACCTGATCTACTCTCTTTTTATGAATCTGTCTATACCAAGATCAGGGCTACAATCTTTTAATTCACCTCCCTTTATAATACATTTGATCATTTGATAAAGCCCTTCTCTCATACTGGTATGTTTTCAGAATATGATAGATTTATTAAATGGTTTGCACACTTTCCACAGAAGATTTCACTTCAGTTATGAAGAAAAATATGCTATGAAAATTTCTGTGCTTCTATAGAATTTTTCTTATCTCATGTTTTTCTTTTTTCTTTCATTCTTCTTGTTTAAGTTTACAGAAAGAAAGATCTTGGACAACAATAAGGTTTTCCAAAGGCTAATTATGACTAATCTGAGATTAGTCCAGGTAATTCTTATTAAGAAGAAACCCCTCCCCCACCACCACTCAGACTGAGACACTATAATAGATGAGAAGACTATTCCAATCTGACCAACGCAAACCTAAATATTCAGAGTTGGATAATAAAAAACAGTTAAAAAAATGAGACACATGTCACAAAGTACACGTAGCCTTTTTCACTCTCCAAGTTGTTCTTATTAACAAAACTGTACTAAAGCTTATTTTTGGAGAAAATTATAGTCTTGGTTTAGGCAAAAAGTAGAAAGCTGATGTTGAGATTGGCAAGCTTTAGCTAGGCAGAGCACTACTATCTGATAGCTTAGAAACAAAATATAACTTTAGCTTAAAATCTTACTTTCTAAACAGACATTGGCAGAATTAAGACACCTGAGATCAATTTGCTGTAATAACAACTCTGTACTTGAATCTAGAATACTTGGGTTTGAGTATTGGCCATGGCCCTGGATGTATGACTTTGTGAGTTGCTTGGCCTCTCTGTCCTTTGGATGATCTCTAAGGCAGTGGTCATGCACTTTTTAAGGTTTTTCACAATCTGTCTCCAATCTACCTTTTCAGTTTTTCATCTGTTTTTCTTTTCCTGGCTACTGAGAATCAGCTTCCTAAAAGATTACACGTTGCTAGAAAAGCCCAGAAAAATTAGGATATTATCCAGTTAATAGCTTGGAAAGTAAGTTGCAGACAGAGATAGGATCAAGCAGAGAAAACCCACGAATGGTATTTTGTAAACTTTAAACATGTTTGTCGAGTAAATTTTTGCACCTTTTCTTACACCAAGTAAACATGCTTATTTGACTTTCAGTTTTTGATAGCGAAATTTCTATTGTAATTCCCCATAAATCATAAAAAGGCTCAAGTTGGACAGTGTTAAAACTAACCAAACACTATTCGCCCAAACCAGTTCAATACGTTTTCTAGGGTCCCTAGTACTCACCACAGAAGTCCAATTCTCCTTTTCCATCTTTCACACATTAGAAACAACTACTCGAATGGAGCACAAAACGTGGGAAAGAGTAAAGAGAACTCCTAAAGCTAAGGGGGAGAGGTTTACCTCTGGCCACAAAAACTGGGGAAATAAGGAGATACCTGATCTTGAGGCTGGTCTGGAGGGCCCAGGAGCTTGTGAGGAACCGGAATGGATGCACTCGCTAGTATCAGCTTCTGAGAAGGAAATCTGGTACGGAAGTGCCTCAGCCTTCCTCTCTAGGACTCCATCGGAAAGATCCCTTGTCTTGGGCAAAGCCGCCTCTACTAGTTGGGGAAACTGGCAGCTTCAGCCTCAGCAAGAGCATCAGGGGCTGAGCAGGCGCCTTGGCGCGCGGCGTTCCCTTGGCAACAGGAGTCTCTTCCGGTCCTGAAGCGACGCCTCCTTGAGGGTCTCTGCGTTTCAGCCTTGGCGTCCTTGTTTCTGGGATCCAAGAGCTCCGGGGAAAGACGAGAGACCTGCCGAGGAACTCTATTAAGGAAAATGTGAGCACAGGTGAAAAGTCGAGCCGCCGATTTCTGCGAGGAGCTTCGCAATCACAGATGAAGCATGAAGGGAGTTGTAGGCGCGCAGAGCCTTCTGGGTAGCATTTTACTTCCGCTTTGGCTGTGAGCTTTCTCCGGGCTGGTCTCCCGCTGCAGTTCCCGGGCTTCGTAGTAGATAGCGCTCTGAGTGGCACCCAGAACGCCTCCTCCTGGCACTACAGGACAAAGCTGTGTCCCCTGAGGCACAGATGTGTACCAGAAGTGTCCCACTGCCCATCGCACCCACCCTCCCCTGGGTTATTCCGACCCCTGACTCCTAAGAAGTAAGACAGTAAGGCTGTTAATGAGGTCAGAGAGGAGAGAAATTTGTAAAAAAAAAAAAAAAAAAAAAAAGTAGTATAGTTACTGTCAATAGCGTGTTTTCTTTTTTTTTTTTTTTTCTTTTAGGCTAGGGAAAATAAAAAGTAAAAGACATTATTTGGCAAAGGAAGTTAGTTTGTACTCCTGCTTCTTAGCTCTCTGGTCTCCTATAGTGATTTCCACCAGGTCTAATCTTTTGTGATTAGATTATGGTCCCCAGAAATCTAATCCGCTGTATTTAAAAGTTGGCCACTTTCTTAAATTGCACGTGTGTATTATTGTAGTAGAGACTAATGATCCTCAAAATATGTGCACGTATACTTCCCCCCACATTTCCCCCACAGTTCACACTGGTAGTCATTTTAAAGATGTAGAATTTTTTTTTTTTTTTTTTTTTTTTTTTTTTTTTTGCCAGCCTTTCAGTCTATCTAGTCCCATCAGCCTCACCTCTCCATGAATGGCTTTCATGATTTAAATGTTCTTTAAAGAAGTTTCATCTCTTCATTTCCCTCATTTACCATGAGTATGGGATTTTATTTTTCCTTTTCTACTAATTAGTGTTACGTTTATTATTCTACCTGTTCTTTGGCCTATCAATTAATTTGGCCTATTTAAATGGACTATAAGGGTGAAAAAGAAATTCTATCAATATAATGATGGTGGGGAGGATTGTACACATATTATGATGGGGGATTTTTTCTTTGTTGATTTTGGAAATTTGCAAATGTAGCTGTTTTTACAGTGAAGGAAGTGTTCTGGGCTGTGACTCTGCTGCAAGCAAAAACTAACAAACAAAAATCCTGTAGTTGCATATCTAAAAGTATTAACATAGTGTGTTTGTAGAAAACATACTATGAAATATACTATGCTTTGTGGTGTCTCCTTAGGCCAGTTAACCCTTCTCTATGCTTCATCTTCCTCACCGTCAAAAACATACTAATTTGTCTACTGTTTCTGAGGATTAAAGAGATAACAAAAGTATAACTGTTTGACACATAGGTGTTCAATACATATTTTCCTGCCTTCCTTTGTTCTGAAATTTTTTACTTGACCCAATTATTAAATATCATGGTCCTTTAATTTCTGGCCCTGAGTGCATTTACTGGTAGGTATTGATCAATTTTCTTTGTTTCTGAGTATTGTACTCACTTTAATAAGAGATGGAAGCTATTTGCTGGTAGATAGACTACAACAATTTTGTTTTGTTTCCCCTCAGTTAAGAAGAAATCGCATGTTCTAGAAAACTTTCATGGATAGATCTTATTTTCTTATTTAGGTTGAGTTCATGTTTTTACATAGTACAAAACATTGGGTGAAAACTACAAATGTAATAGGCAGATTGAGCACCAACTTTACAGTAGACTTAGGCAGATAGATATTTCTTAACAAGAAAAAGTAAACAAAAAGATAATTGTTATTATTATTAGAGATGAAATAGTTGTTGTCATGAAACAAACAGTTTACCCAATTTGGAAAATGTCTGTTTTGAAAATGTCATCCTAATAAAAATGACAAATATTTAATATGATTGAGTTTGTTGTTTTTGTACTTTGCCAACTGAAAATGCTCTGAGTGTTGAGCACACTCAGAGGCTCAACATAAAATTGTTCCATTCCATTTAAGAAGTTAGATTGAGAGTAACAAGCTTTAAAAATGGTATGTAATTTTCTTAAAACTACATAATATATATGTGCAAGAGAAAAGAGTTTTAGATTGTTTTTTGGCCAGTTTTAATTTCATACTGGGTTTTGGAACTGTAGCAAACTTATAAAAAAAGATGAGAAGAAGATACATTGAATATAACACTATTTTGATTAATTCTTGATATTTTTAACATATTTTCTTACCAGCAACTTTTAAAAGAATATAGAAAATCTCTGGTTTATAATTTATTGGAAGTTTTTGGAACAAACATTGATGGTCTAAAGCTGTATTTGACCAGCGAGATGTTCTGTGTCTTTTGTTATCTGCAATTTGTGTACAGTAGTACCTCTGCAATAAAAAAATTTAATTCACTTGAATCTCAGAAAATATTTTGCTAGTGTAAAGTCACTAAAAATATGTATAATTTATTATGATTCATGTGAATTTATGTGTAGACAATATGACATTATTAATTACTACAGCTATGATTTTGCATTCAGAATTACTAAAGTAGCTTAAAGAATATCTACATTTCATAAACTAAAAATAAATTACATTAGGAATACATCAATACAAAAACATCACAAATTCAACCACCAGAACTGTAACTTTTATTTGCTAATATATTTTAATAAACAGGCTTACTCCATCTGTAAGACCCTGATAATTCCTCTTAGGAAATCATAGAAAAATAAAATACAATAATTATTAATTTGTACTTTGTACAAAAATCTTATTATGTTGCTCAGCAGGTAGTTTTGCTAAACATCATATTCTTTCAGCAAATAGATGACATGTAATGCAATTCACCACAAACAATCTCTCATGTTGAGAGCTGAGCATTCTATAACACTATTAACTTGTAAGCATGCCAGCACATGAAAATTTACATGGAACATCATAATATTATAGTAGATTTTTGTAAGATGAAAACAATACCACATTCAAATAAATTTGAACTACTTTACTGGTATAGCAAAGTAGATAATAGGTAGGATTGCAGTTCAGTTAACACCGTTATACTGTGTTTATCTCTACCATATTGTGATTACAACCAGAAAAGAGAACATAGGCTGTGTAAGGATCCTGAGTGAAAGGCATATATTGAAGCTCTAAATGGTGATAAAATACCAATATTGAAAAATAATAATGTAGTGCTGCGCTTCCTTATTTTCATAAATAGATCTTCCCCTCCTTTTGTAAAAGTAGATGAGTATAGTGTAAATCCTTAATTAATGATAAATAGCTTTATGTAACTTTAAGAGATACTTCGAAAGAATCACAAAGGAAGGAAAAAATATTTTTAGCTGCAGTTTCCCCCTTAGTCAAATATAGCTCTATGAAGGATTAAATGTCTCAACCTAGACTGATGTTACTTGAGTATTTTATAGAAAAATGCTATTTAGTATTAAGCTTTAGGATTTGTGCTACAAAGGTGTTTAGAGCTATTATTTTGAGTGCACTGCAACTGTTGATATCATCTACCATTTAAAATTTGATATGGCCATTTAAATATCTAAAGTGTTTAATCAAATACACATTTATATGTACACATATTATCTTTATATTTTTGGCTATGCTAGAACAGCAATAAATTGGAGAACAATCTTATTCCATCATTCACAATCTAATTTCACATCAAATCAAAGAATAAATATCATTAAATTCCAATACATTGAATTTCATACAGCCTATCCAGAAATAAATCACCAAGCACTATTAAAAGATCATATCCTTATGTTAGAATAGGGAGGGAAGCAATGAACAAAACAACCATCTTGCCCACATGTTTCTCCCAAATTATAGAAACTATTTATGTTTTCCATATGAAACAAAAATAATAATTTTTACCTAAAGATTAGTTCTCACTTGTCTTTATTTATTTTTAAAAATTCAGATGAGCACTCAAAACCTCCAAAATAGTATTCAGGAAAATTGACAGGTTTAGAATACAATATACATCTTTCAGGATTTGGCTAATTTCAATTTTATAGGCCTCAGATTATAATGAATGGCTAAAAATTATTTCTGCCATTTACTCTGTAATAGACAAAAAAAAAAAAAAAAAAAACATGAGAAGTATCTATAGCATTTAAGAAATCCTCAATCACTTGACTCTTATCAAGAGTCCTTGGAAAGCAAAAGTTTTAGGTCTTCCAATAAAATTACTTATATTTAATAAAGATGCTTTGAAATATTTTCTAGGTTTTTTTCTATCCTGTATTAACACACAAATACCCATTAACTATGTCTGTATGTATATATGACATACATCTATATTCACTTTCCTATTTTGCAACTATTTATGTATCTCTCTTCCAGTCTATACTCCCTTACCACCCCTGTATTGACTTTTCTTTGTAAAATTAAACTACTCACATAGTAACATCTTTACCTCGCCACTACAAATCTACTAATCTACCTGCATATTACAAAGTCAGCTTTCCCTCTTATTGGAGTTTTATGTCCCTGCTCCTATAAAAAACTAACCTTCCTACTTGTGCTCTGAATTCTAACCCCTCCAGGCCTTTGCCATAATTATCTTTTCTCTTGCATTATCAGTTTTCTCTTGTCTGCCAAAGTACTCTCATTAGTATATAAATATGCTTTAGTATCCTTTATGTAAATAAAAGAACAAAAAATCTCCACAGAGCTCTCTTGACCCTACATCTCCCTTCACCTACTGCCTTAGCTCCTTTCACTTGCTCCCTTTACAACACAACATTTTGATAGAATTCTTTATAGATTCTGAGTCTGCTTTTTACTTATCTCTCTTCTTAATCCACTTCAGTCAGGCTTTGATTTCATGGTTTCACAGAAACTGCCCTTTTTGAGGTCTTGAGAGAGACTGCTCTTGTCAATGTTGCCAAATCAAAGGGCAGTTTCATTGTTCTAATCCTGATTTTGGCTATGCTAGAACAGCAAAAAATTGGAGAGCAATATTATTCCATCATTCACAATTTAATTTCACTTCAAATCCAAAGAATAA